CTAAATTTTTATCAATTATATTATAATAAAAATTGAAAAAAATAAAATGTAAAAATATTGGGGAATCTGGTGATTTTTTTGGTCTTATTTTTAAGGGTTTTCCATAGGTATGAAAATACTTCAAAACAAAAGATTGAAAAATAAAAATTAACAAACCACCCTCTCTTGGTGGTTTAGAACGACACACATTATCTTACACTTCTGGGGAGGCACTGGCTGACCGCCGTCCTCCTGAGGTCCTAGGGAAGGACTGGCCCCTTGCCCTTTCCATTCTGTGGATGCCACTTGCCATTCTCCTCTCATGACCCTCCCTCCACCCTCCAGGCCAGCAGTCCAGGGTCTGCAGGTCTCTCTCTCCCCCTCTGGCTCATCACCTTCTCTGAATTAGACCTTCTGCACCCCTTTTCACAAGGACTTGTGATGACATTGGGTTTGCCCGGATGATCCATGCCAACGTCCCAACTCAAGATCCTTTGCTTAAGGGCAAAGTTCCCTTTGCCACGTGAGGCAACATACTTGCAGCTTCTGAGGGTTTGCCCTGGACGTCTTGGGTGTTGGTTGTTCTGCCTGTGATCCACCTGTTCATTATTAATTTATTCAACCAGTATTTGTTGTGCACCTGCAATGAGTCAGGTACCATGCAGGCTGGGGACAGTGTCGAGTCAGGCAAGGCCTCTGACACCCTGGGGTGTTCCTCACTTTTCCAACTAGGCCCAGAGCAGGCAGATGCCACAGTAATATGAAAGCAATGTTCCGCGTGCTTAACACGCGCTCACATGAGTGCCCTGTAACATGTGTCCTCCTTACTGTAAATGATGGGAAACGAGTGCCCTTTCCTAAGTGGGAGGACTTTATGGGGAAAACACATCTCACTTTCAGTCTCATCAAACAATAAAACACAGGGAGATTTTTGGTCCACGAAATCCTCTGCTTCTCAGGATAATCTCAGCTCCCCAGTTGCTGTGGGGACAGTTGATGACACCAACCAGGTCGGCAAGAGTAGCAGCCAATCCCTTCTGCCAGAAGCCAAGTCTGGCCAACTGCCGGCTTTGCTCTCCCTACTTGCTTGCTGGAGATTGGCGGGCAATCGTGTCACTTCCTTGGACTAACCCAGGACGACTTGCTGGGCACTATTTTGAGTGACTGCTTTCCAGTGCTGCATTGTGTGTAAAGTTTACCAAACTGAACACTCAGCTGGGGTTGTGGATTGTGGGTTGTTTTGTCACCTCGTTGTCAGAGGCCATGTGTCTGGAGGTCCCTCTAGTGTCTGTACTCCCTGGATGAGCCTGGACCATGGATGTCTATCTGTCCTGAGACATTCTTTGCAAGCCTTTCATTTCCATCTGACACCATGTCTTACTTCTTGCTGTTTCTACTAACAGAAACTTCTTTTCTCTAACCATTTTTACTTCTCCTCTAAAAATCGAAGACTATTTTCTAGTTCAGATTTTTTTTAATCAGGTAAGATATATGAATTTAAAGCTCTGTATACATAGTCACCCCTTATCTGAGCTTTTTTACCCTACCCTTTCAATTTCTGTGGTTTCAGTTTCTCACGATCAACTGCAGTCCAAAAACATTCAATGGACAATTCCAGAAAAAAGTGTGAGTTTCAAGCTACTTGCCTTCTGAGTGCACGAAGAAACCTCACACCCTTCTCTGTATCTTCCCTGGGATCTGGATCACCCCCTCGTCCGTGCTGCAGCATGCTCTCTCTATGCTACCCATGGTTGAACCACCTTGTAGCCCCCAGCCATCAGGCCCGTGGTCATGGTGTCACCGTCCTTGTGCTCAAATAACCCCTATTTTATGCACCAAAGTGCAAGAGTCACGTTGCTGATAACTTGGATATGCCAAAGGGCAGCCATAAAGCCCTTCCCTCAAATGAAAATGGAAAAGTGTTTGATTTGATAAGGAAGAAAAAATCATATGCTGAGGTTGCTAAGATGCACAGTAAGAACCAATTCTTCTGTTAAATTGTGAACAAGAGAAATTCATGCTGGGATTCTGTTGTACCTCAAAGTGCAAAAGTTACAGCCACAGTGCATGATGAGAGCTTAGCTGGGATGGAAGGCATTAAATCTTTGTATGTATGTATAAAAAACAGTATAAAGGATTCAGTACCCATATAGTATATAGGATTCAGTACCATCTGTGGCTTCAGGCATCCCCCAGGGGTCTTGGAACACATCCTCAGTGGAGAAGGGGGGACCATTGTTTTATTCTTTTTATGTGGTTGATTCAATTTGCTAATATTTTAATGATAAATTTTGTGCCTGTGTTTATGATGGATATCAGTCCATGGTTTTATTTTCCCATACTGCTTTCTTTTTGGTCTGATTTTGGCATCAGGTTTGTGCTAGTTTTATAAAGTGAGTTAGGGAGCATTTCACCCTTTTGTCTTGTCTGGAGGAGATGTAGAATTAGTATGATTTCTTCCTTCAGTATTTGGAAAGATTTTCCAGTAACAACATTTGAACCTGGAATTTTCTTTGTTGGGAAATTTTAGCTATGAATTCAGTTTCTTCAAATGGAAATGGAACTGTTATCTATATTTCACTGTTGTTATTTGGAGTGTTCTACAAATGTCAATCAGATCAAGTTGTTTCATAGTGTTGCTTGAATCCTTTATGGCCTTGCTATTTCCTGCTTGTTCTATTGATCACAAAGAGAGACCACTGATGTCTTCAAATTTTGGTTTAGTTTTTCTTTCTGTTCTATCTTCTTTTGTTTCATGTATTTTGAAGTTTGCTTTGGAGTCTATGCACAATTAAACTTTTTATGTCTTTTGTGCTTTGACCCATTTCTAACCCCGTCATTTCCCTCATTTTGACTGGCAATTCTCCTTGTTCCAAAGTCTACTTTTTCTAAATTCAAGCTCTCCTGCTGGTTTTCCTTTATTCATGTTTGCTTGCTACATATTTTTCTTACTCTTACTTTTAACCTATCTACACTGAATTTAATGTGGGCTTATTAGAAAGAACATAGAGATGGGTCTTTTAAAAATTTAAACTAGATTAATAGTTCTTTTTCTCAGCATTTAAACAACATTGAAATATTGTTCCAATATCACCTGGCCAGTTTCTAATGAGAAGTTTATAATCATACAAATCATTTTGTCACTGTATGTAATGTGCTGATTTTCACCTTCTTGATATTTTTTTCTTTAAACTTGGTTTTCATCAACTTGATTATGACGTGTCTGAGGTTGATTTTCTTTGAATCTGTTCTCTTTAGAGTTCACTGACCTTCTAGAATCTGTAAATTAATGTCTTTCACCACATTTGGGTAGTCTTCAATTATTATTTCTTTAAATATACTTTTATTTCTTTGATGAGAACTTCTATTTTTTTCTATTAATTTCCAGAGTTGTTTTCCCTCAATTCACAGAACATGGTTATAATAGTAACTTTAGAGTAGTTATTGTGTCTGGGTCATTTTGGGGTTGGCACCTGTTGATATTTACCCTGAGACTTGGTGAGGTTTTTCTAGATTATCTTACGTCTAGTAATTTTGGATTATATTTTGGATATTTTGAGTGTTATACATGAGGTGCTATTAAAACCTCCTGGACAGCTTCATTTTAAAACAGGCAAACTTGTTTTGCTAATTATCTTTAGACTGAAAGTCCTCACCCACGTTCTGTGGACTGTGAGTCCAATTTCAGTTTAATTTTGAATGTACTGGTAGAACTATTTGGGTCTGCTCTGTGTGGGTACCACCTGGGGGTCTGAAACTGTGAAAGTGTCTGTGATGTATTTTGATTCTCAAAGGTTTTGACATATTACTTGCAGTTAATTTTTAGGCATGTGGGTTTTACAGATGAGCCCAGGATTTTGACATAGATCCAGGGACTCCCTTTATTCTCTCCTCACCACGATTTTCCCTTCCCTCTCCATTTCCCAGTTCTCACTTCTCCTGGTCTTTCAGCTTGACACTCAAGGTTTCGTCCTCCTTGTTGTCTGTGTCAGGCTGAAGCATCAATAGGAAACAAAAGAGAGGAAAGTGACGCTCATTCTCCACCCTGTTTGGCCCACAGAGGCCCATTCTTCTAGGTCCTCGTATCAGAGAGAAGGATTTTCTTTGGGTGGGTTGGTGGTCACCAGAGCTGCCACCATATTAGCAATTTAGCCTCGGTCCATATTTTTCTTCCATAAATTCATCTCTTGCTTCACTCTGGACAGGGACACAGGGAAGGTTTCTCTTGGAGCATCTGCTGTCCATGCTGATTGTGCAGTTCTGGGAACTGGCCTGCCCTGGAGCGTGAGCCAGGAAACACGGGAGGGGAATTGCAGAGAGCTCCGGGCCACGTTAGCTGTGCTTTGGTTTTTATCTCCCTCCTCCATTTGCTTGCTACAGTATTTTAAGAGTGCTCCTGTTTGACTTATGGTTCTGACCAGGGTTTTTAGTTCTAACAAGTGAGAGAAGTCGGGTGGCGTGTGCTTACTTCATCTTAGCCAGAGCCAGTAGCTGAAAGACTTACTTTTCTTTCAGCCACCTAAAAGGAAGAAATGCCAGCCCCTATGGCTTGAATACAGGGAATAGGTAAAACAGGAAGACAAGGACCTAAGCCTTAACACTTGGGCAGGATTTAGAAAAGGGGACCTGTCAATTTGACTAGAGATTCTTTCTGGATCTGTGCACACGTTCAGGGTGCTGTAAATGTTCAGTGCCTTTCAGCAAAGCACCAAAGCCTGTGGGGTGAAGCTCCCAGAAATGTCTATTTCTCTGACTCATCACTCTGCATTATCTTTCAGTGTCTGAAAAACAACTATTAAAAAAGGTCACAGCTGTGGATAAACTAGATCATGAGCAAGGCTTTGGAATTGAGATGATGCACTTTGATTTAATATCAAGTGGAAAAAACAGAAGATCAGAGAAAGACGATTGCAGTTGTATCTTATGTATCCTGCGATTGAAACTGGGTAAACAGTAGACAAAATGGACATGCTCGTATGGAAATTAAAATGGTCGTGTTAGGGAGAATGAAGCACAGGAGATGATGTGTGTCCTACTGTTTTATTTTAAAAATTCTTACTGTGGCTCTACTATCTCTTCAAATGTAACATCCTGTAAGAAAATTTCCTCTTCTGTCACCTTCTTTTATTTTGGTTGCTTATTTTGGAAGGTTTTTTGATTCTCTGTCACCCCAACCACTCCTGTCACATGTTCCTATGACATTGTCCCCTCCCCAAGTCTTGAGGGTACCTTACTAACAATCCTTTGATTCTCCTCCTTCTATGTCAGACATGAGCGTGTGCAGGTGAGGGCAGGGCATTACCTTGCATATGCAGCGTCAGTGCCCAGCTAGTGCCTGGTGCATGGTAGGTGACTGATAATATTTATTGACCGTCCCAGGTCTCCAAGGGAGTGACAACAGGCTAAAGTTAAGATTTCTAGTTGACACTTTATTTGGCTCTGTTTAGTCTCACAAGCTTTTTGTACCCACACTTCACTTCCTCTCCACGTTGACAAATGCTGCCCAAATTATCCAGCCAGTCAGCAATCCGCCAAAGGAGAGGACCAGGTGCAAGAATGGGGAACAACGATCAGAACTCAGGTTTTGGCTGACGCTTCCTTTGTTGTGAATGGTCAGAGGAGATGGAGGGTTTGGTGGAGCTGGTAGATCCAGAGTCTTTCTTCTCTGGCCCCAGACATGCTGTGACACTCTAAATCCAAACATATGGGTCTAATTCAAGAACACTGTCACTTATGAAATTTGTCATTTGCACTTTGGTTCATTTTGGAGGTGAGCATATGGAGTCAGCCAAATCACAAGGTCAGCGTGACAAGGATGGGCTGTGGGTTGTTGCAGCTACACGACCCTGGCACGTTGGAAGGGCACACAGGCATGTCTACTCCAAATACCTTTCTAAAACTGTCACTTAGATTTCCTCAACAGCAGCTGAGTCTCCACGCAGCCTTAGTTGAGCCCTGGAGTGATGGTGGGCTTGCTGTTTCTCAAGGCAGCTCAGTACATCTTCAGATGAATCCCTTTGGACTTGGCCAACACGGCCACAGGAGCTGATGTCTCACTGCTGCACCTGCACTGGATGCCATCTGTCAGCCACAGTGTTGTTTCCCATCAGCCGAGGTGGAGGCTCAGAATCATTCTCAATGCTGTGTTTTAATGGAACAGAGTTAGCCTCTGCCCCAGGTACTGGGAAGTGCTTTCTTACCGCTGCTTCTCCAGGCCTTCCTCACGTTGACCTTCTTATGGCCTCTGTAACAGTCCCAGCCTCAGACAGCCTCAGACCTGGCGATCTTGAGCCCAGGGAAAGAGTCTGGGAGAGGCAGATGCTTCAGGGTGGTGCATTGGGGTTAGGCGCTCCTAAGTCTGAGGCCCACAGGCAGAGCCAAAGGTTGGTGACAGGCGTTGGTTAGGAGGTACAGAGTTGCCATGAATCCTGAAAGACTGCATCCAGGACCAAAGCCAAGGATCACCAAGCTCCAGGATCCAGGCAGAGGGAGGGAGCAGGAAGTAGGATCTCAGCCTGTGACTTCTGCTCCAACGAGTCCTTCATCAGACTGGATGTTTTTCTTTTGAGATGGAATTTTGATACCATTTTCCCAATTTCCGATACTGGGCTAAGTCAGGAAGAAGGCAGGCCACTAAGCTGTGAGAAGAAGGTTGGGTCTTCGCAACCATGAGATGACTTCAAGAGTCTGAGCGGTTCAGCTGTGAATACGGGGTGTCGTGCTGGAGGACCACAGGCTGATTCTTGTAATGTAAGAGGTGCACAGCCTCAGCCAGGTGCCAGCCCTCCAGATGTGGAGATGTATGTTTTCCTGAAACGGGGGGGGGGGTCCACTTAGACAGCTCTGTCTTTGACACCATTGTCCAGTGTGGAGGAGGAGTCCGGTCCTGGCCCTCCGTTTGCCTTCTCAGCCACGGCCGTGTCCCCTGTCTCCTCTGGCGGACTCGCCTTGTTTCTCTTGGCAAATTCCTGGCTGATTTCTGCGTGGGTTCTGTTCTTAGTCTCAGGCAGAACAAAATAGAAGTAGAGGGCACCTATGACACAGATTGCAGCAAAGACTAGGAAACAGTAGGTGTCCAGACTTCTCTGTGGAAAGACAGAGGGAAAAGATCAGATGAGCTATCAGTGAACTATATGGCTGTAAAACCGTCTCTGGGAGGATGCTCCATTTCATGACTCCCACTCAAATGTCAGGATTCCTGGACACCACACTGCATGCGAAGCTGACCCTGTGAGGCAAGGCGCTGTGTTGCTGTGTTCCAAAGGAAGCATGAATAAACCAGCTCCCTGCTCTGGTAAAGATGAGGAAATGTCAGGCTTTATTTACTTTTTGCAAATTAGGCATTTGAAAATGAATCACCACGAAAGCAAAATGTAATGCTGAATATTATCTTAAATTTCTAGTTGCCGTTATTCACATTCTCTCTCCTCTTCTGCTATGCACATGAGACACAGGTAAGCCAAACATGAAGAGAAATGTCTCAGATCATAAGAAAAATATGGATCATAGTTTAGGCCAAGAAAAATATCATTTTTTCTAATATGCAAAAAGGTCTAACACACTGACTAGTATGCTGACAGGGGAGACCAGGAGTGAGAAATATTGGAGGCAGCCATATCTTATGTGTCCTAATTACTGATTGGATTAGACCTTGAGTTTTACAGTGACACAGTCCCCTCTGTGGCTCCCGGTGTCTGTGCAGTGAAAGACTTTCTGGTTCTAGGTGTCAGGGATGTGACTTTTTCATGCAACACTATCTACTGATCCAAAGAAAAGTGACACTGTCTTAGGATGCATCACAGAAAGCAATGTCTCAAGTTTAGTCCATTTCATTTAGTTCTTTTGATTTGAAAAACATTTCTCTTCGGAGCCTAGCATGATGCTGAAGAGCTTGACCTCTAGCTTGCATTCCAGATCCACCAGACAAAGAGTCTGACTCTTCCCCTCCGTTCCCATGGTTGTAAGATGAGCACAATGGTGCTGGGTGTGGTGGCATACACCTGCCATCTGGGTGCCTTGGAGGCTGAGGCAGGAGGATTGCACGTTTGAGGCCAGCCAGTCCTTCTCACTCTTCCGTTCAAAACCCACCATGATGTCCTAAGTCACTCTGTGTCAAGCCAAAGTTCTTGCCATGGCCTCCAGGCCTACTCACCCTGAGCCCCTTCCTTCTCTGACCTCCCGCTGCTTGCTTTCTCCTGGCCCTTGTGATTTTCCTTAGGCATCGGGCTCTCTGCCCTTGCCGGCCCTCTTCTCAGAATACTCTTTGCGACAGCTGCTCCTCCTGCTTTCTCACTTTCCTCTCATCTCAGCTTAAAGGTCTCTCTGGCTCCCATGTCTGAAGGGCCCCTCCCGGCTCGGATCCACCGTTCTCCCGGCACCCGCCCCTCCTTGGCACTATCGCAGGGAACCCCCTGTTCATCAGCCCTCTCCCCACAGGAGGCAAGCTACCTGAGGGCAGGCTCCGACATTTTCTGATATCCCAAGGGTGGTTGACAGCGCAGCAGAGCTTCAGTAGACATCTACTGAATTCACAATGGAGTGGGATTCAGGGGGCTCCCAGGCCACCTGCAGGGATGTGTGAGGCCTCTCTGCCACCTACAGAGCTGCTGCCTGTTGGACTTCATTTCCCGAGACACCGGATGGGCATTGCTCAGGTCATTCTGTTTCCCAGGATTTCGTCAAGAACCCACGACTGTTGCAGCCTCCCTGGGAAGGAAAGGACGCTTGTCCCCGCCTCAGCAGCCTCCAGGGTGAAGATGTGGGGAAACCAGGGTCTGGCTGAGAGCAGAGGGCGAGGCTGGTGCAGAGCAGCCGGGGTCTGGGACAGCTTGCGAGCGGGGCCTTGCTGGCCCCCAACCTTCCGCCCAACCCTGGGGTACAGGTGCTGTTCTACAGATGGGGACCCTAAGAGGGCTGAAGACATTGGTCCAGGTTTTTCTGGGGGAGGGGGTAGGAGGTGGGACACTGTGCAGCAAAATTGATATTTCAATCTGGCCCCCTGACCCCGGAGCCTGTGTTTGCCACACTGTGCTCAATGCTTGGAAAGGAAGGCCCCGTGAGAAGACATGCTGAGGCCTGGCCACGGACAGCCAGAGAAAGAAACCACAGCCTTTAGCTCCTGCAAGCCTGGAGGGGAGAGAGAAGGTCAGGGCCAGGGCTGGGCAGGACAGAAGAAGAAGATTCACTATGGGGCTGACCCCAAGCCTTCCCAGCTAGGAGCTGGAAGTCACCTAGATCTGGCAGATGAAGGACATTTGTTGGTATCTGTTTGCGAGAAATAATTTTGTGCCCATGATCAGGCAACAGCCTAGTATGCTGCAAGTAGCAATTGCACAAGATCTGAGAAGAGAAATGCACTTTTAAGCACCTACTGCGCACCAGTGATATTACAGACATTACATGGTGTGATCCCCATGGCCACGCTGGACACAACTGTTTTCATTTCCTTTTTACAAAAGATGAAATTGGGGATTACAGGGTGCTTCTGAGACATGTCCAAGGCCACAGAGGAATGAGTGGACACCTGGGGCCGGGTCAGTCTGGCTGGCGGCTCTCGCTCTCTGCGAGTTCTACCCCCACACCCTCCTTGGCATACATGGGGGGGCAGCCAAAGGGTGCTGGGGTCCCACAGGGCTCCCCCACTGCACCTGTGGGGCAGGGATCTGGCACCTTCTCTCACAGGCCATGTGCCAGAGGCGGCCAGGTGTGAGGTTTGCATCTGGATTCGAATCCAGGTGGGCGACCAGAAGCCACAGTCTTGCTTCTGTACCTGCCTCTCCTGTCCATGCACACTCAGCAGAGGCCGCCATGAAAAGGGCCCCCACAGAGGGCATGTATGCCACTCTCTTCCTGCCGCCTCCTCCTCCACCCCAAAGGGGCTCGGCAACCTGCGTGGGCCCAGGGGCTTCCGAGCGAGCCAGTCTCTTCTGGGCTCCTGTTGGAGGGAGGATCTGCCCAGTGTCTCCAGCAAGTGGTTTTAGATAGCACTTCTGGGAAGGACCCTGCCTCCCCACCACCAGACCTTGATTCTCTATCTGCCTCCACCAAAAAGTCGACCTATCACGTGACCCGGGAAGCACCTCCACTATAGGGCCTTCTGTTGCCCAAGAGCACATGGGCACAATCCCACTGGGGGATTTCTGTAAAAACACTTTCACAATTTAGAAAGTGTAACCCATCCTGAAAGTAATTGATCAATTTGGCTACTTAAAAATTAAGGACAGGGGCTGGGGTTGTGGCTCGCTGGTAGAGCGCTTGCCTGGCACCTGTGAAACACTGGGTTCGAGCCTCAGCGTCCCATAAAAATAAATTAATAAAGGTAAAAAAAATTTCTTAAAAAAAAATTAAGGACATCTTTTCAAAAGGCACCAGACAGTGAATACCTGAGTCACAAATAGGGAAGAGATACAGTAACGTCTCCAGCATGAACTGAAAACAAAGCAGCAATCTGCACAAGGTGAGTGAACTTCAAATGGAATTTTACCTGAATCAGCCTCAAATGGAATTTTACCAGCGTGGGTTAGCTGAGGACGTTCTGGAGGTCAGAGCTGACCCCTGCAGGCTTGGGGACCTCCCGGGGGCTCCCAAGACAACTGAGGCAGTGGGAAAGTGATAGGCTTATTAGAACCGCTGAGGTGGCCGCTTGGTCCTCCTGCCAAGGCGAAATCTCTTTCCCATTCTCCCTTCCCCTCTTGCATAAAAACTATTACTGTAGTTCTTTTACTTCTGCTGAAAAAATATCTTTTATATTATTAGAAATGGTCATGAAATGTTCCATATTCTCTGATTATAAGAACATTTCTTTTCAAAATAGGGTATAATGTCAAATTATGCTAAAAATAAAAGGCAATTTTGGCAAAGTTCCTGGATATTAAAGACAAATCTCAGCTTTTTTCTACTCCCTTTCATCTGAATTGTGTGAAAATGTAACAACTTTCTCGAAGAAGGAAAAATAGATGAGAAGTGTATGCTGGGAATGTCGCCGTACGCTCCCACACATTAGACCCCGGGTTCCTCTGTAGATCCGCGGTGTTGGGTGGGCCCGGGGCGGGGCGTGGGCATTGCCCAGAAACCTGGTCACAGAAGACCAATTTCTCTAGAGGTAACTAAATAATAACCTCCTGTGATTCTGGGTTAAATTTAGCGGTAGCCATTGAATCGGTTTGTCAGGAGCAAGGAAGGGTTCTGCGTCAATGGCCCACTGTTAGTGGCTGTCACAACCCGGCAGAGAGCTCCCTGGGGCCTGGGGCACATGTCAGTCCTCCCGGGTCTCCAGAGCTCACCACCACACTTGGGGGTGAACTGCTCTTATTTTAGACAAGAGCAATAAGAAGGGGAAACGTTTAATTTGGGGCTCACAGTTTCAGAGGCCTCAGTGCACAGATGGCCTACTCTGTTCTTTAGGACCTGAGGTGACGCAGATCAGGGAGAAGTGTGTGGCCGAGGAAGGCAGCTGAGAACATGGCACCAGGAGGGGGGAGAGAGAGAGAGAGAGAGGGAGGGAGGGAGGGAGAGAGAGAGGGAGAGAATGCTCCCTTATCAGGGACAAAATATACACCCCCAAAGCGCACCTCCCGTGGCCCCCTCCTCCAGCCACAGGCCCCCTGCCTACAGTTTCCATCAAGTTGATCCTTATTGACTGGGTGGAGCCACCGATTGGGCTAAGGCTCATTTCACCTTTAAGCCCTCTGCCTGGTCTCACGCATGGGCTTTAGGGGACACCTCACATTTAAGCCTTCACAACTCTGGCGCGAGTTCCTGGAAGCGTGTCCCAGCCATTCCAGCGGCTGCCATCAGGGCTCGGGTGCCTCTGGGGCTCTGCACAAGGTAGATGATGGCGATGGGGACGGAGTCTGCCAACCGGGAACCTGAAAGTCACCCTCGACAGCCAGGTGGGGCCTCCTCCTCGGGTCCTTTCTTTAATCGCCCCCTGGTCTAGCCTCTCATGGCTTCATGTCCACTCTGGAAGTCTAGCCTGGGGGTGGCCAAGGTTCTGTGCAGACCACATGGTCTTGGTCAGGGCCACTCGGCCCTGCCCTCGTGGTGTGAGAGTGGCCATGGACACTGGCACTTGGGTGTGGGTACAAGGCTCCATCTCAAAGCTGAATTGTCTTTCCAGAATCAGCGGTGTGCCCACCTCGCTGCTGACCTGTCCCTTCTCCACTGTGGCCCTGTCCCTGTGGCCTCTCCTCACTGTTCGGCACACTGCAGCCGAAGGGGCTTTCAGAAACACCAGCTACGCCAGCCTTCCTTCAGCTCACACCTCCCATCGATTCCCACTGCTCCCGGGAGGGAGGCCCCTTATGGCTGGGGTCTCCCTGCCCCCTGCAGGCTTCCTGGAGCCCCACCCAGGAACCGAGGCCTCCTGGAGCCTCTCACACTGCTTCCTGGGCCTCAGGGCCTCTGCACTCGCTGTGACTCCTCCCCTGCCTCCTCCTTGTCCCTGCCTCATTCTGGTTCCTATGTTCCTCCCGGGCAGCCTGCCCTGCTCCCTGAACCAGGCCCCCTGTCGTCACCCCTCCAGGTCTCCCCTCTTTCCTTTCAGGCTGCAGTGATCTCCCAGGGTGCGCCTGATCCTCACCCTGAGGGGCTGGGTGTGGCAGGTTCACAGCGGGTGCTCCATAAGCGCTGGTGATGAAGAGACTGTCAGTGCTGGTGGGAAATGAGGTGGCCCGTTTGGGTCTGAGGTACTGCAAGACCCTCACCTGCCCGCCCCCAAGTGCCTCAGAGGGTAGTGGTCAGCCCCGCGTGACGGGCCGTGGAAGGCTCTGGAATCTCCCCTCATTAGCAAAGGTGGTGGAGTGGCACTGAGAGAGGGCTGACTGGGCGTGGGTTTCCTCCACAGGGAGAAAGGGCCCCTCTCAGCCTGGCTCTGCTGGCCTTGAGGTTTGAGGACAGTTGAAAATACGGGGGTTAGGTCTAAGGGCCGCTGGGCGGAGGCGCCCAAAGGGAGGTAAGGGAGGGCGGGGAGCTGCCCTGGGACACTCTGGTGCAGGGTGCTTCTCTCAGGCTGGCTGCAGTGCTGGGGCTGGCCTTCGGTCCCCCTGCTAGCGGCAGAGCCTCAGGGTTGCGCTGGGCTTGGTGTTAGTAAGGTAGATGGAGAACGGGCTCGGAGACAGGGTGGGGGGGTGGGGGGATTGAGACTGTCCCTGAGGAGGCTCGGTGGCTTTTTCTCTGAGGATCCTGCTGGAGTCTCGCCCTCTCCAGGCGGCCTCACCAGGGGATGTCACCGGTGTCCGGGCACCAGGGAGCCCTGGTGGGCATTGGAGCAGGGAGCCTCACCCTCCTTAGGCGGATGCTGCTGGCCGTTGCTCTGTGCAGAACCCTTAGAGTCCTGATCTTTCGTGTCACCTCCCTCCTTCAGGCTCCGTTCTCATTTTCTACTCTGCCATCTTCCTTGCTCACACTGTTCCAGCCATTTCAGCCTCTGCTGTTCCTTCACAGGCCACCTCAGGGCCTTTGCACGTCTGTTTCTCTGGCTTGGACTTTGTCACTCCCTGTGAGGAGTGCTCTGCTCCCTCACTGCACTCACATCTCTGCTCCTTGTCACCTCCTTTGGGCGGCTTTCCTGGGCCACCCCTTCTCAAGTGGCACTTCTGTCTCCATTGCCTCCCTTCGGCTCAGGACTTATAACACAGCTTTGTTCCTGCTCCATCCCCACGGCCTGAAGCGCAGGGGCTCAGTAGACACCGGCTGAATTAATTAGTGAGTGATGTTAGACTCTCCACCTGCCCAGGAGGACTGGTTCCTCAGTTCTAAGTATACGGGCATTTTCTACCAATCACTGACGCCCTTGGGATGGTGGCCCATTAGCTATGTTTAGGCCGATGCACCGCAGGGTGGCAGTCTGCACTGCCCTTATCATGTCCTTATCATGTCCAGCCCAGGGATGGGCACATTGCAAACATGAGAGGTAAGTGGTGGGCTCGAGGGTCCATCTACATTTCCCTAAACGCCCTCAGCAGGGAGCGGCCCTGCCTTCCCAGGCCACCACAGCCAGGAGGGCCAGCTTGAGAAGGACAGGGGAGAGGGGAACTCCAGGCCGCAGTTTCCTCCTGGGGATACCAGCAGGAGCAGGAGAGAGCCACCTCTGCCCTTGACCGCCCCTCCCGTCTGAGAGTCAGGTGGGCTCCCAGGCCCGAGCCTCCGTGACCAACCTGGATGAAGGGGAAGAGCAGCCCCACGGCGAAGTTGGAGAGCCAGTTGACAGTGCCCGCCATGATGAAGGCAGCTGGCCGCTGCGATTGCTGGAAGAACTCGCCGGTCAAGATGAACGGGATGCCGCCTGCAACGTCAGAGGCAGGACCGGATCAACCACCGGAGCAGGCCAGACCCCAGTTTCCTCCCCAGGGCAGGCTGCAGGACCCCCCACGCACCAGGGGCTGCTCTCTTAGCAAGCCAGCCCTGCCCTGGTGGGTGGCCTTAGAGGGGGATGCTGCAGCCAGGCGATCCTGGTACGGAAGCTCTAATGCCCACAAACCTTCCTCTGACCATCCAAGTGAGAGATCCACCATCCTCTCGGCTCTCTGCCCTCTCAGTCAAGCCACAGTCCATCAGAAACAGAGAACTGCACGGGTAAGTTTGATTCGTAGAACACAACTGACTATCGCGGAGTCCAGGTGCTCCTTAACAAAGGGATTTTAATGTCCCAATAAACCCACTGTCAGTTGAAGACAGCACAGGTCAAAAATGCATCTTGCACACCTGATCTACCAAGTACGGTGGCTTGGGGTATCCCGCCTCAGAAGCGCTCAGAACACTTGCATTAGCGCACAGTCAGGCATCTGGAGAGAATACCACATTGTGTGTTGCTAGATCAGGAAAAGATGAAAATTCAAAGTACAGTTTCTACTGAGTGCCTATTGTTTCCATACATCAAAAAGTCAAACCCTGGTAGGTTGGGGACCATCTGTTATTGTGTCAGGATGTTTCCAATTTAATCTTCAGAATAACTTAGGCAGGAATTGGCTGTCATACCCCTGGGTGAAAACACTGAAGCCCAGGGACGTCACTAGATTTGCCCAAGGTCACCCAGTTCCCAGGTAGCTGATTCAGAACACAGGCTTGAGACCCTGGCCTCCAAGTCAGAACACAGGCTTGAGACCCTGGCCTGCCAATCCCTACCTGAGAGACGAGAGACGCCCCTGCCCAGTTGGTTCCTGTTTGTGCGCCTTAACTTCTTGACTGGGTGGGCCCCTGTTCCTGAGTGGCCCCGTAGCTCAGTGTTAATCGATGGCAACATCATTGACACTAAGGCGGGACAATTCCTTATTTCCGGAGACTGTCCGTGCAGGATGTTTACCACCTCTCCAATACCATGGCAACCTAAGCCACCTGCATGCACCCCATTTGCCGTCCTGGGTTGGACCCTCCCCAACGGCACCTCCTGCTCAGTGAATCTGGGGTCCTGTTTGTACCCCTGGGCCCCCAGTTGGAGTTGCCACTCTGCCAATCAGATCTGCACCTTGGCAGTCCTCAGACAAGGCAGGGTGGGTAGTGGAAGGGGTCCCCGAGGGGCCTTTACCAAGCTCAGAAGTCCCTGGGCTGAACCCGTGGGTTCTGTCAGCTCTCAGCGCTTACTTCTGGCTGGGGAGCTGGGTCAAGAGCAGCAGGGCCCCTCCCTTGGTGGGCTTCCTTGCGTGGGGGCAGGGGGCAGAGTGATTTGTTTCTTGTCAGGAAGCGAGAGAATGAGTAAGTGCAAAGTGTGATGTGCCCCCTGGAGGAGGTGCCCAGCCCTGGGAGGTGACCTTGGACATGAAGATCCATGGAGGTCTCGCCAGGTGGAGGGGTGGGAGGGAAGAGGCCCTGGGGTGAAAGAAGGGGTCACGTCCAGGACTGGGTGGATCTGCCTGCACACCTGAAGGAAGTGGACGGGACGGGGTTGGGTTGGCCCGGTTGGGCCGGGCCGGGGGGGGGTTTCTTTTGGCCCCGGGGGGGCTTTGCTCTTGGAGGAAACCACTGAGGGCTTCCACATGGGGCGGCTGTGCTCTGTGCATTTCATGGAGACCTCTGCTCTTTGGGGAGAGGAGGAGGGAGTACAGGGGGAGCTGAGGCTATGGTTTTTGTAGGAGGGAGGGGATGGTGGCCGTGGAGCAGAGCAAGGGGCCAGACTCAAGAGACTCGTCAGCCGTGGAGGCAAAGCTTCCTGTGTGAGCACTGCACTCCACCAAGGGCACCCACCTAGCACCCAGAGCCACAGAGCCAGGAGCAGCGCAGGCCGGCCCCTCTCCAGGGCTTTTGCTCTGTCCTGCTGCCGGTGTGCCTGGACTCCAGTAAGTCACAGGTGATCCAGGTGAAGCATCACCCCATCACCCATTAACCGTGAGACCCCTGGGCCGGCACCAGCTCCACTGCCTGGCATGTTTGAAAGGCATCAGATAGACCATCGATATTTACTAAATGCTCACGGTTTGGACTACTGACTATGCAGTTTGCCACGTAGAAAGCCAAACTCCATATCTTAAAGCGATCTATCAAACCTGTCCTGAGCAAGAAGAGCAATGTGGGGGATATCACAACACCTGCTCTCACATTATACCACAGAGCTGTAGTGGCCAAACAGCATGGTGTTGGCATCAAATGGAGATGAAGACCGATGGAGTAGAGTAGAAGACACAGAGACAAACCCACACACTTACAGCCTCAGATACCTGACAAAAATCCCCAAAACAGATGTTGAAGAAACAAAAGGTTGTTTAAAACAGCCTTTTAAACAAATGGTGCTGGGAAAACTGGAAATCTATATGTAGAAGAGTGAAACTAGATCCCTCTTTCTCACTCTGCACTGAAGTCAAATGGAAATGGATCAAAGGTCTGGGAATTAGAAACTGTGCAGGGTTGGAAGAAAACAAGGTCAACACTCCAGCATGCAGGTGCAGGTACCTCTTCCACAACAAGACCCCAAGCCTCAAGAAGTAAAACCGAGAGTCAATACACGGGCTGCCATCCAATGAAAAAGCTTCTGCCCAGCAAAGGAGACAGTGAGGAGCGTGAAGGCCAAGCCTAGGAACGGGGAAAACCTTGGCCAGCTACCCCTCCGAGCAATATCCAGAACAGAAATGTTAACACACACACACACACACACACACACAGAACAAAACCCAAAATAACACAACTCAATCACTAAATGGGTTAAAGAACCAAACAGACATTTCTAAAAGAAGAAAACCAATTGTCCAACAAATATATGAAAATAAATGCTCATCATGTCTAGCAATCAGGGAAATGCAAATCAAAACTACACGAAGAATTTGCCTCACTCTAGTCAGATCAGCAGTTGTCAAGAATACAAATAATAAATGTTGATGAGGCTGTGGGGACAACGGTACACTCCTATGTCATGGGTGGGACTGCAGACCAGTACAGCCAGTCTGGAAAGCAGTAAAGATTCCTCAGAGGACGGGAACAGAACCGCCATATGACCCAGCTACCCCCTCCTCAGTGTTTAGCCAAAAGAACTAAACTCGGCGTCCTGTAGCGCTACAGCCACGTCAGTGCTCACGGCAGCACGACTCACAGTAGCCTGACTACGCTCCAGACGGGGTCCTGTCAGGAGATGAAGGGACGAAGAGGATGTGGTATACACACAGTGGGGTTCACCACGCCAGAGAGAAGAAGACATTTGCTGGCAAATGAATGGAAACAGAGAACATCAGACTCAGAAAATCCAGGGTCGAATATTTCCTCTCACATGAGGAAGCTAGAGAAAGGGAAAGAAGCCAGGAGGGGGCCGGATGTCCTAAAGGGAAGGTCCGTGGAGAGGGAGAGAGAGGAGTGAGGAGGGACAGGAGGGGGAGGGTGTGCAGAGTGAACTGAACAAACTAATGTCACGTGCATACAGAAACACTCCACGGGGATTTCTAAGTGCGTGGATGGCACCCATCGAGGACTGATGAGTGGACGAGCAAGGGGGGATGTGCCGAGTGGAGGGGGTCGGTGGGAGGAAGGCATCGAGGAGCCGGGACTGAGGAGCGGTGGTGAGATTCCAGCGTGGGTGATCTTGTGGGGAGGAGCCCAGCGACCGTGTGTAATTACGATGCTCTAATAAAGGGGAGAGGTGTCTATCAAAGTGTGTGAGGACAGTGGTGACACATTGAGATGTGCTGAGCCCAGCCTCCAGGTCCTGCCGGTGCCGAGATGTCATGCCAGGAGTGTTTGTGTCACACCTCCAGTGGCCTCGCTGCTAGCAGAGCTGGGACCTTGCCGCACTCCCAGCTGGACTGGAGCCCTCGCGGGTGGGAACGGGAGAGCCACCCCCCTGGACGGCCACCCGGGAGACTCCACAGCACTTCCCCGCTGGAACCTCAGTATGGCAGCTGACTTGCGACCCAGAGGGCATTGGCCACCTCCGTCCCCACATGTCTCTGTTGCTTCAGGGCCACTGTGGGCTGGAGCAGGGCTCAGGGTCAGTGGATGGCAGATGACTCATCTCTGACGCCCTTTCTCCCAATCGCCTGCTGTATGTCCCCCTCAACGTGCGTGTTCCGAGGTGGCCTATGCCCTCACAGGGTGGGTGGAGGGCTGCCTTACAGCCCTGCGTCTGTGAACCAGGGAGAGGGGCAGCTGGGCTGGAAGGAGGCCATCCCACGGCTGCTCACGCCTTCCTGGGGGCCTGGGCTCTGCTCTCTCCTCTGAGATTTTGTAGGGTGACTTGCGCTGGAACCCGTTCCACACGGTTCCGGGTGGATTCCACTCCAGGGGCTTTAACTGGTTCCCTCAAATTAGGACCAAGTCTTGGAAAACAGCCAGCCAGGGCCCGGGGAGGCTGTGGCCGGGCAGGTTTCTCTCTGTCTTACCCCTGGACTGCTGCTACTCATGTTGTTCCCTTGTCCTCGTCCTCCAAATTGGGCTTCTTGGGAGAGTTCTGAGGTTCCATGGGTCTCCTCCTCTGACCAGTGCTGTCCTCTAAGAGTGGAGACAGGACACACAGTGCTGGAACCACCCTTTATCCGTGCCAGTCTCTGAGGCCTGTGGTGTGTTTCCTGGTTTGGCTGTTGTGGGCCACGGCTTTCCCCCTGGGAGAAGGTTGTTTGTTTGCATTGATGGTGTTTAAAAATCTAATTTAAAAATCTAATTGACATAATGACGATACAGACGGTGGGTGCAGTGTGCAGTGATCAGACTGGATAACTGGCATGTCCAGTACCTCAAATATTCGCCATCCTTTGTGTCGGGAACATTCAAAATCCTCTTGACTAGTTAAGTTTTTTTTTAAAGACTATTTTTTTCCTGCTCATTTTGTTAGATATTTGCCACAGTCAAGGCTGGGAGGACCATGTTTTCCTA